AGGCGTCCAGATGGGGACGGACGCACCCAAGCCGCGCCGAACCCGATCCACCCATCCCGCACGCCATCTCCCATCCCACACGCCGTCTCCCGCACTCATTGTTATCCTTTCCTCGCTCACTCCCGCAGCGCTCCTCCCATTCTACTGAGCCGCCCCGTCCGCCGGGACGGACGCCGCGCGGCCAACTCGCTGCCGTCCTGCGCCGCCCTTCGGCGCTCCCTCCTCCTCCCCCTTCCCGCGACCTCCATTGCTACCCCCGCGCCCCCTACGCCCCGGCTCCCGCTTCCCCCACCAGAGACGAGGGCGGCGGCGGCGACTCCGACGAGGTAGGTCGGCCATTCTCTGGATCTGAGCCCTCCTCCTCCTCCTCCTCTGGATCTGAGGGATGCGGCGGTGGCTAGGGTTTCAACGAGCTTTGGGTCATATTCCCCCCTCCCTCTGGTGAACTCGAAGGTGATGGGGCCAGGGGCTGGAGCAGCCTGCAGCTCGAATCCATCCCTTTTGCTGTTTGCACATTTTTACTGTTTTCTCCCGTATTGCAATGGGTTTTTTTATGTTGCAATAGATGATTTTTGAATGTTGCAATGGGATTTTTGGTCGTTGCAACAGATGTTTTTGCGACGTTGCAGTACTACTATTTAAGATGTTGTAGTCCATAATTTTTGTTGTTGCGGCACATAATTTTCGATGTTGCAGTACATATTTTTTCGATGTTGCAGTACATGTTTTTTCAATGTTGCACTACATATTTTTGCGATATTGCAGCACATAATTTTTTATGTTGCAGTACTTAATTTTTTGATGTTGCAGTACATGTTTTTTTTATGTTGCTTTACATGTTTTTCGATATTGCACTACATAATTTTGTGATGTTATAGTATTTATATTTCGATGTTGCACTATATAGTTTCTTCATATGTTTGAGATGTTGTACTAGTGTTTTCGTGCTCTCAGGACATGGGGGCGAGGTGCGGTAACGGGGACAGGGGGTGGGGGAGCGGAGGACAGGGGCGCGGTGGACGTGATTTCTATTCCGATACGCGGAGACGGGATGCCGTTCTATTCCGATACGCGGGGGCGGGCAGTTTTACGAAGGGGAGTGGCGTCCGGACGCATCTTGCGCGCCAGGTGTCCGGGCGAGCGTCGCTATACTAAGCGTTCTGACCGGCTGTGTGTTATTTATTCGTGGTCTCACAAAGCCCAATAGCGTATATGGGCCCGCTCACTCATTATGGCAATGGAAAGTACTCCGGCCTCGGACTCATTATTATTTGGCAACTTCATCGTATATATTCACCAATGCATTGATCGAAAAAAACTTCGGTTCCTCGAATTACGATCGCGGTCATCGAAACACAGGACCGATCGGTCTTTGCAAAAAAGCGAAGACCGAGGAAGCTCGGTTAATTCGGTTCGGTCTAATTCACGACCGAACTAACCGGACTTTAGTAGCGACCACAAAAATAGCGAAATCTATAGCAATTTTCAACGGCATGCTTGCTATTTGAAGGCAAAAAAATAACAACACAATATATAAAACAAACCACATTATTATGACAAGTTCTAGACACAACTTTCTGTTATCACAAATCACAATCATTCATAAACATATCACAAAGCCCAATAACTACGGTCGCGCGTATATGGGTTAACCGCTCACTATGATTAACTTCTATCGGCAATGGTTGGGAAGTAGGATCCGAACTCATGACCGAACTTTTCGGTCTCGGTCTCGGTCTTTTCGGTTCGGTCTTCGGTCTTCGGTTAATTATGCCCAGAGTGAGTATATATACATACCATCTTCTCAATCCCTCCGTAGTTCTATTTACCCTTGCAAGCGGGGCGGGTTGTGGACAGCCATGAACCCGCAACGCTCGCCGCAAATTAATCTAGCGGCTGTTCGTTTCTTCAACTGTGCGGCTCATATGTGTCTCGTGGACTTCGTGGCTGATACCTGCAAACCTGCATGACCCGCAAAGATCTGTGCTGCTGCTGTTGGACCGCGCGGAATAGCGACTGCCCGTCGATGCCGGCGGCCCGTGCTGCTCCTCGGAGGCTCGGACTCCTGCTCCCATCTTGCGAACCGGAAGCAGCGTATGGCGCCTCTGCTGCTTAGAGACATCGCGCATGGCCACAAAGTAAGAAAGTTCCAGTGCCTTTGCTTTTTCACTCTATTCCAAGCCTCCAACGACTGCAATGACGACATGAAGGCCAAAAGGCCATGTTTCTGAACCAAAACAAAGATTGAATAGCTCAAAATGTGATCAATCAGCAATCAGTGAAATCCAAATGGCTTTGAAGAAGACGAGCGGCAAGTACAACCACAGCTCAAAACAAAAGCTTGGTTCAATCGCACACCTGGTCACCTGCACATATGATGGGGAAAGAAGATGTTCGCGATGGTTCGTCGGGATCCACCTCGAGGAAATTTTGGCGAGGGCGGTGGCCGGTGGCCGGTGGGAGCGGAGTAAGTCATCTCACTGCCAGCTTCCGCCGCCGAGGAGTGCGATGCCGACAAGGGCGCGGCGGTGGTAGCCATGGGATTGGAGGGGGCGACGCGGATAGAAGCGGCGGCGATACTTTTTGCGGATCTCGCGGGTTTGCGTGGAAATTCACCTGTGTCAACAGGCTTAGCGGGCTGAACGATAGTGGTCCGCAATCAATTGGCAGCTGGTTCGCAACAGCCGCATACAGCTATTTTGCGGGGCGGGGCGAGCGGGTAACGTTAAGAACCCGCCCCACCTGCATTCTTAGTTCTATTGCTGTTTTGAATTCAGGCTTTGAGTTAGAGAAGTGACTGTTAGAAGCATATTTTTGCAAGCCGAGCTTTCCCTTCATCATGACGAGAAGTCCGCAAAAGTTGTTCGATGGTAACAGACTAACACTAGAGAACGCTCCTACCATAGTACCCTGTACTATATTTATACTCTTTAGAAAAAATTCAAATTTTACCAAGTTTGACCAACATTAGTCAAATTATATGCGAATTTAGAACTTAAAACTTGCATCAATAGATTTGTGTTCAAAGTGCCACTTAGATACTGATTTTTTTGTTAACAATAGCCGATATATTGTAAGAGAAATTATGGGTCAAAATACTCTTATCATTTCTGTATGGAGGAAAGATTAATTGTAAGTAGAAGTTTAAGTTGTACTTAAGAATGACAGGTAGGAAGAAAGCCGGATAAGTTATCCCAAAGTCACGATTACGTGATACAGGAGCAGAAGAAAGTAGTAGGCAAAATGGTACAAGAACCAACCACATGTATATTACGGAATATCCACTAGAATCTTCTGTCCAGCGCACCTTACGAGAAATGGTACGGTCCGGCACCTTATCGAAAAAAGCATCTTGTCTGAAACCGGATAGACACTCCTCTCTTGCGTCCGACCACATATTGCAATAGCACGTCCATTCCAGGGAGCTGAGAGCCTTTTAAACTCCAGAGTTTAGTTGCACTAGGCTAAAAGAACAAATTTCACCCTGCAATTGACTCATGGCTAGAAGCTTATGTGGAGTTCTTCTTATCTTCTTTGTAACCTTTTTTGTTTCTTGATTTTTGTACTCGAACTTTCTTCTTTTTGCAATAAAGCAAAGTAGGGGCTTTCACCCCTCCTGTTTTCAGTAAAAAAAAGAAAAACTCTAGAGTTTGGTTGCACTGGGCTAAAAGAGCACTGTAATCTTCGTGCAATTAAAGCTTTGTTCTTATTAATTTCAACAAGGACGAACCAGGACGGCCATTTAGACGGAATTATCAGTTATGCAAGCTGTTTTGTTTGTGTTTATGCACCTAACATGTGAAAAAAAATTCAATATGTGCTGTGTCGGTGTTAGGTGTTGCCGACCAAGTAATCAAAACCATTCTTCCACTATCTTCTTGCACCAGCACCACGATTGGCTTGTTTGATCAGCAAGCTTCCGGGCATATATACGATGCAGTTCGCCTTCAGTAAAATATCGGTTTTGGAGCTCATGTAATAGTAATCTGATGAACCTTGCTCATACCTTGAAATTTCAGGCAGGATCTTCATATGAAGCAATCTCTTTTGAGAAATGGATGGTGTTAATGAGTACGTTCCCAACGAACACAAATTGAACTGAAACTTTTCCAAAGTCACCCATAAAAAAACGCTAGATTATTTAACACCAGTAGTTCATGCTTAAAATCGCTTTGCTGCTATTTCACAAGCCATGTGTTGAAGCCTGTTTGGCGAATTGACAATCCCTTGTTGCAACGAACTTGGGCCACTAGATCAGACAATCAACAGCCAAGATTCATGATTAGTGCGTGATAGAACGTTGTCTTTTCAAGGCATAAATTCCTCCTGGCCAAGTGTTTTTCCCCTAGCGAAAGAACGGAAAGGGGTGGACACAATTGTGTGGGCGGCCGGGTGGATGCCAGCATCTTCCCTTTTCCATCAGCTGCAAGATACGTTTTCATAAATGTAACCAGTGACGTTCGTAAACTACCCACCTCACAGCTCGTTTGATGTAGACAAGCCCCGTTTTCAGGGTTCTTTGCACATCTGTCCTCCTATAACTTCAGTTTAGCACTTTATGGATAAAATCCCTTTTGCCGGTTCCCAAGTCTGAGCTTTTGTGAGTACTAGCACTTTACGTATTGGGCAACCGCTGGGAGAATATAGGATTTCACATCTATAGGAGGGAATTTGCGTAAGAAGTTTGAAGATTAAAAGTCCTTCCTTCGCTACGTCCATTGCCTTCTTCAAGCAACAAACAACATAAGAACAGGAAAACAGGCAAAAGCCTTCCTCCCCCTCCCTCTCAGCAGCAACTCAGGAAACCATCAGAATTGCTGGTCTTGGTACTACTTTTGCCATGGTTCAGATCAAAGAGTTGTATCCTCCCCAAGCTCTTGTGTTAACAGTTTTTCTACCCCAAGTTTATGTTTTCTGTATGATTTTTTCTACCCAAGTTTATGTTTTCTGTATGAATTTGTGTATACCTTGACTTCATTCTTGCGCAAAGCCGGATCGTCATGCCCATGTCGATGGAAGAGGTATGATGATCCAAGAGCAAAATAGAAAGTTTTCAAATGATGATTTTGCATTCCTGTGTTTGAGTTGACAAATGAACTGCTGAAGCTGGAATTTCGTGTTACAGTATGAAATAGGCTTGAGCTACACCATCATGAAGATGGAGCAGCAAAACACAAATAGCAAGGAGGGTATAGAGGTACTGCAGCAAGTCCCATTTGAGGATGAGAAGCTTGGCAAGGGCCAATTCACCTCAAAACTTTATCATTTGCAAAGGTTGTATGTACTCTACCTTCTTTTTAGATTAAAAAAGTTTATCACTTGCAGAGGTTTGTATGTACCTTCTTTTTAGATTAAAAAATTTATCATTTGCGTTTGTATGTACCTTCTATTTTTAGATTAAAAAAAAAAAATGTGGCTGCTGGGATTCGAGCCCAGGTCTCCACGGCCACAACGTGGAATTCTTACCACTAAACTACAGCCACTTTTTTGTCCAAATGCATAAATACACCATAGTTATATCATAGTTATTTCAGAAGCATAATTATTAAGTATTTTTAAATACATCAATGATTATTTTATAAACATTGTAAGGAACCTTAACAACGATTAAAATCAAAATTATGTGCAGCAAAATTCCATCATGGATGAAGGGCTTTGCACCTGCCAGCGCTCTCACAGTGCATGAGGACTCTTGGTGTGCATTTCCAAAGAGCAGAACAGGTTAGCTATTTTTCACTTTGGCCATTTTAGAACAGACTCTGTAATATAATACTCAGTGGTGAGAATGTGCGCTCAACTTGTTCCATTGTGTTTTCATGATGGCGTGAACTCCATCTACTCTGACTTGCACGCTAGTGATCAAGGTATTCAGAAGTGCTACTCAAAACCTGAACCCTACATTGATAACTGAATACTTCAGGCTAACTTTACTTTCTTCATCATTTGTCATCAGTGCCCACTTTTCAGCAAGTGTTCACTCACCATTGACACTGTAACCAGACCCGACAACGGTTGCTCTGAAAATGTTAGTTGTCTTTAATAACCACACTTCAAAATCCCAGTCTCAGAAAATGAGAAGAGTATCAGAGTACTAATAAGAGTCTACTAATGTGCACCAGGTGCACAATTTGACAAGTGAGCAGTTAGCCGCAAGAGAAGTTGAGATCATCGACATCACATCTATGCCACGAGACTACTGGAGTAAGGTGATCGGTGCTCCAAATGTCGATCTGACAACCTTCAAGTCACAACGAACAGAACGAGGTCCTCTTCTGAAGGGATGGATGGTATGGAGCAACACAGATTTCTCAATTAGTATATACGCCAATGCCCAATGGAAAATGGTGCCGTTCAGAAGCCTGGTACTGCTGTTGTCAAGTTACATATCACGTTATCACATATATGCATGTACATGCTGTTCTCTCTTCAGGATTCATGCGTCCCGGTGATGACCACATACAAGCTGGTGATCATGGATGCCCCTATATGGGGCCTCGGCGAACGGCTCGAAGATTGCATCATTGCGGTATGCAGATATATCACGCCCTGCTGATAGATTGGCATTCTCTGAATGAATAAGAGCACTTCGCCTGTTCGTCAGTCAGTCTGCACCTGCCAGCCAAGCAGGACGGCAAAATGTTCAGAAGTTCAGACATTTCTCCTCTCTTTGTCGAGAGGATTCAGAAGCTCAGCGCTAATGCAGTGTGTGCGTTTCGTTCACACAGGGGGAGAGGGCGCTGTTCTTGGCATGCCACCGCCTGTGCTTTGCGTGGATCGACGAGTGGTACGGCATGACCATGGAGCAGATCCGAGAGATGGAGCGGCAGACGGACATGCTGCTCAAGAAGGTCAGTGTCTCTACGCACGTTCTCCCGCGCCGTGCCTCAACATATTTGTTTCTGATTGAACCTGTGATGCCTGATGAATTAGCTGACGCGTTGCTTCATCGCAGACGCTGAAAAAGCCCGGGAAGGCCGGGAGCAAGCACGAGGGCAACAGGAGGACGCTCAAAGACGAGATAGTGGCCGTGGGGAGCTGCACGTAGTGCTAGACTGCTAGTTTTATGGGACGGACCATTGATTCCGTTGACAGCCTGTCGCCGTCGGGGCCGGGGTATTGGCGGCAGAAGCCCGACGCGCTGTAATATGTCATAGATTAGGCATGTGTAGTGTGTCCACATCTGTCTGGTAGAATTGAAGAACATACGCATCGCTGTATGTATGTATATATATACAACCAAGGCAGGCATTTGTGGTTTGTCATTAAACCACCCAAAACTAGCAAGTTAGCTCGTGCAAATAGCGCAGGACTATGTTATATGCTTTATTACATAAGAAATGTTGTAACTCTAACCAGTCCTTAACCAAACAAGCCCACATTGCATCATCGACATGAACCATGTGGTTATTGTCGACTAATTACTTATCTTGTAGCTATTGTCGCACCTCTCGCCTCTTTTCTTTAGTTTTCCCTCTCCTATCCCATGGCTGTGATGGTTTTGGCTTGGATAACTCTTGTGTGCGTATGTATACTTTTAGATGTTCCTGTGTGCGTGTGTGTGTGTGTGTGTGTGTGTGTGTGTGCGCGCTTTAAACTATCACAATGGAAAAATCTAGTTCCAAGGTTGATTGAATTCTACATCATTAATTTATTTATACTTGAATTCAGCAATTTGTGTGTATTGAACTTAGCAATTTAAGTTGGAAGTGCAAAGGCAGAACAAACCGCGACTCAACTCTCTCTGGTAGGCCGCCCCTGTTACGTTCCCAGTCAGCAAGCAGCTAGCCAAGCAGACGCTGACACCAAGATCAGGCGGATCGGGCCAAGTTTCACGGACCTGAGAACACACCAGAAAGAGGCCACTGAAAGCAGAGTTTACCCGTGTGTGATGATGATCTGTGCAGTTGCGGAATGCGGCCTTGGGCGCCCCAGTCCCGCACGGAAGAACCGCCGACGTGGGGCGAAACTCCCGCTGCCGCGTGCCACCCGCCGTGGACACGTACACCCTCTGTCCCGGTGGAATTAGAATCAGAGCAGTTGCTACACCTTGCGAAAAATCGAAACGTCCTTCGGCCTTCGACTCTCCAAGTACGCTATGTGCCACCTTTCGCCAGGCACACAGTTTCCAGGCGGTTCTTCTCCTTCAGAGAAAGAAGGCGCATCGTGACTTCGTGAGGGAGAGAGAGCAGAGGCAATGGCGTCGGCGACGTTCCTGGAGGTGCTCCTCGCCATCTTCCTCCCGCCGGTCGGCATCTTCCTGCGCTACGGCTGCGGCGTAAGTGGAACTCTCCTCGAGGACATAGGCTGCTAGTGTGTTGTGCTCTTCTCCTAACTTGGACGGTGCGCGTGAACGATGGATGGATGTTGCAGGTGGAGTTCTGGATCGACCTCTTGCTGACCATACTGGGGTACATTCCGGGGATCATCTACGCGGTGTACGTGCTGGTGGCTTAAGTGAGACGGCGAGGAGGACTCCGCGGGGACGGCCGTTGTGCTTGGAGGACATGTATGTATGCTGTATGCAAGAGAAGAGTGAGCAGAAGATTCTCTGTCCAAAAGTAGTTGATGTGTGACTTGTCCCAGTGCGTCTGTGTCTCGCTTATGTGAATTTGGAGTGATGATCGGTGGATGGTGTTGAATGTGTGTTGGTACTGCAAGCGAAGTTGTGTACGTAGTTGGGGCAGAAATGTGTATCACAGCATTGTTTGTTGTTTCTTTCTTTCTTTGATCGGGAGACAGCACTGCAATTGCTGGAACGTAATTGGTATTATATGTCATAGGAGATGCTTACGATTCTCTGTTCTGCCGTTGTCCCATGCGAGTTGTGATTTAGGCTGCTCCCGATACATTAGAATATTTTTAGGGACTATCTTAATGCGAACGAAATCCAACAGAAACCAGGTTCTAAATCTCAGCGTCGACCTCCTTCACACACTATTAAACGACGAAACGACGACCGTCTTCAGGATGCAGAAACTACTATATTAAACAGGATGCAACCATTAAATTACTATGATTATGACCACAGATATTTTATTAAAAATACTCTAGATGTCAATTACCGATTATTTCAGTTCTCATAAATATAAAGCTATGAAAAACTTATGACCACAGATAATTCAATTACATGGACTCTATGAGATGTCTATATACCGATTATTTCAGTTCTCCAATAAATTAACCTGGCTATAATCAACAATTCATAATTTTTATAAATAGTTTATTACATTACAGTATTTATTTATGAAGTAAAGAATATAACAATGATGAAGTATAAACAGACATCGTCAGTAAAAATGAATATTTTTCTTCATCGGTTAGTGGTGCTAGAAAAATCACGTCTAAACCAAATAGTGATTTTTGGTAGAAATTAAACCAATAGCAACGCTTAGTGAAAGCTTAATATCAATAGCACAGTAATTGACAATATTATAAAACGGACTTTTTACGTATCCACCGCAACCATCAAATCCAAGATCAGCATACAGTAGCAGTAGTTTTCAAATTTACACAGGTTAATTAGTATCTTATAAAGACAGCACGAAGTTTTTTATCTTATACAAAAGTCTTGTACACGTTCAAATCGTTCAATCGTGAACGAGGGAATGGGCCTCTGATAAGTGTTGTTTGTGTTATTTGGGCCTGTCCAAGCAAAAAAAAATCCGTAAAGGCCGGGAGGCTCGTGGTGGTAAAATTCGAGCCCAGCGAACCGTGCCAAGCGCTCGCGCTAGCGTTTTGCGACCTGACGGCTCGACGTCGGCGTCGGCAGCGGCCACGCGAAACAGAGAAAGTGCAGGGTGTCAAACTTCCCTCGCCCACCAGGCACGCGCGGCGGCGTGTGGATCACATGAATAGGCGACCACAGCGCTTGTTCGCGCCGGGACGAGAGCTGCGGGCTGCGGCGGTCGTGACCTGCCGATCTGATCTGTGACGTTTTTCCTGTCCGCTTCCTCGGAAATGCTCCCTTGCTCCGGGCCTTTCCCGAAAAGCCAGAACGGTCTTGGATGTGCTCGATAGACCTTGGATTGGACGTGTGATTCAGCATCGTTGTCCGTCCTGCCGTCACGGTCTTGCAATTCTGATCCGTCCTCAACATGAAGACCTCTCCCGTCAGTGTCATCAGCAACAGAAGGCCAATCAAGAACTTCCTGCGGCTCACCTGACGCAGGAAGTCCCCAGTAATATCGCAATTGCGGTAGTGGATCAGGGGAGTATCATATGAGTTCACAACATACAGCAATCGCTGTCACATTTGAAAACACAAACATATTCCCCCCATCGGGAGTGCAGATGCTCTAGTTCTATAGGCAAAATTGGCAAACAGGAGTCCAGGACCCCGGCTCGGAACGTACGAGTTACAGCAGACGGAAATGCCAGAGACTGTACTTCCAGATTATGTAAGAGAACGCATTGCCAGACAGACGAAACAACAAAATTCTAATATTTCCACACCAAGGAAAACCTCTGTACATTATTCATGAATATCACTACAATTCAGGTTTACAGTTCATAATCACACAAGCTGGGGGCACAGTTTATTTTACTAGACTAGGTATACGGCAATTGAGAAAATTGAGCATGCTTGTTAAAACTACAGCAGAATAAACGGGTGGTAGGACCTGGCTCTACCCGTTTAGTTTCTCCACTAAAAACCACACCCTGTATACTCCATGTGTACATGTGTACGAGGCCCATTCAGCACACCTTGGTATGTAGAACTGCAATCTAAGACCTATTCAGTTTGCTCCAACATGGATTCAGGGCCACAGGTTGCAAAGATAAATTTCACCAGTTGCTTTAGCTATGTCACAATGCATTCTCTGGGATCAGAGTTTTCCCTTTGGTTCCTTTCCACATCGCCAAATCCAATGTAGAAAGCCTCATCATCATCACTGGCCAAATCTGCACTAGCTGGTTCATTCTCCATATGCAGGTCAGACTGTCTCCTATGTAACCTCAACACATGCATGATGACATCAGATGAAAGTGTCACTTCTGCCCGAGAAGCATCAACTTCTCTCCCACGTTCATTGGAGGCTATTATCTGTTAAGAAATGAAACAGATACAATGTCAGAAGTAAAATGGGAGGAAATGTATCAAGTACAACTCCATAACCAACCACTTGCGCTTGCATTAGTAGAAACAACTTACTTGCTTTGCATTTTTAGGCAGTGACATCACTTTTTTTGATGCAGGAGTCCAAAGCTTAACAGTTTTATCAATCCCACTAGTAGCCATGAACGGGAAATGCGGGTGGGGTTCAATGCAGTTAACTACACTTTTGTCACCATTCATCATCCTCATCAATTCACCTCCCTTCTTCCTCCATATGAATACATTCCCGCAATCTGATCCACTCACAACATATTCATCATGTGGTCCAAAGAAACTGACTCCCTTAACAGTTCGAAAATTCCTGTGACCTGAGTACTCTTGTGGCTGATCAAGCATGTCGAAAAACTCTGGCTCTACTGACACAGGATTTGGACCGAGACCCATATTTTGTTGGAACAAGTAGATAAGCTCATCATTGTAGGATACAAGTATCTCCCTTGCATAGGAATATGCAATACTGGTGATGTGGACCTTCCCACCCTTAATAAGGTGCTTAGGGCAGAAGGTATCTACAGGATGGTTAATGTTTCTTGAATCATCCAACTGGAATCTCCTCATGTCATACAACCGTACATACTCATCAGAACCACCAATTGAAAAATAGTAAGGGTTCTGCGGGTCAATGGCAATGCTATTCAGTCTTACACGGCGTCTGTCATTCAAGAAAGAATAGCAGGTGAAAAGCTTTGTTGCTGAATCGCTTCTTAAGTCAAACTGTAAGGGGGGGAAAAACAAGTTAATCCCACTGCACTAATAGCGTATATTAGCATATAGTGGCCTAGTGACATACATGCTGTACCAAGCCATCCTCTCCACAACTGTAAAATATGTAAGGGCTTCCTGGTTCAATAGCCATCTTATGCACCCGGGAATCATGCTCCCCAACTAGTTTCGTTGTGACTTCACCGCCCTCCTTCAGTCGTCCTACTCGTACCTGGGTGGCAGAAGTGGTTTATTTGGTTGTAATGAAGAGAAAAATATCCATGATGCTTTAGCATGGAGTACAAGGAGCTGGTAGCCAGTAAAATCATTTCCAATATGGAACTAAGTAGAAAGAAAATAGAAAAGTAGGCAATGCCAAGCTTAAAGGGCGTACCTAGTGCAGAGAGCTCCCGCTCTGTGCGGGGTCTGGGGAAGGGTGTCGGTGGCAAGCCTTACCCTCGCCTGTGCAATGCGAGGAGACCGCGACTCGAACCCGGGACCTTCCGATCACAGGCGGTAAGACTCTACCGCTTGCACCAGGCCGCCCTTCAGGCAATGCCAAGCTTACTTCAAAATATTATGCACTGCAAGAAACAGTGCTAGTCAAGCAACACAAATGCTTCAGGACACGGTCACAAAGATGCATGCAAGCATTTGTGGGACAATTTCCACAACAAGGGCAGACCCAGTGCCAGAGACTCCCACATGAGTGGGGTTTGGGGAAGGGAAAAAACGAGGCAAGCCTTCCCCCCGCAAATCTACGGAGAGGCTGCTTCGAACCCACAACCTGGTGACTCAGTGAGACAGCTCTCACCACTGCACCAGGCCTACCCTTCGACAATTTCCACAACAACAAAGTTGTAATTATGTATAGCCCTAACTTTTGAAAGCGCTGCTCCAGTGAAGACAAAAGATATTCGAATCTAAAAGCCTGAGAGAAAAAAGAAGTTTCTGTAGTTTGCCTTTGTGTTTTTCGTGAAGGATCTTTTGTATGCTAAGGGTATAGATGGTGTTCCATGCATGGAATAATAGTTGCCATCATGCCACCCTAGATTAAAAAACAAATTACCTAGAACCACGGCAGAAGCTCAACATGGTTTACAAATGTGTTGCATAAGTTACTTAGACTCGCAAGGCTGATGAACGGTATTCTACATACAGTTGTCTTTTTCATAATAATTTATTACGATATTCTGTGCAATGACCTCAGTCTCTTTACAAATGGTTCACGTGCCAGGAAATAAATCATGGTAATAAGTTCCTTGAACTTGTTCACAGCTTATCAAACAGATTAAAAAAATGTAATGTATCCATCCAAATCATTGTTGGTAGAGACAAACCTGGCCATCAGCAGCAACAGTTACAATGGTGCTGTCATCAGTAAATGGCATCACACGAGCATGGAAGACATTTTCGTGGTGGCCGGAAGGGTAAACAAGCTTTTTAGTTTTAGAAAGCCAGTCCCATAGTATGATATTCATGTCGTCTGAACCGGACACAAGAAGGTCACCAGCAGGGTTGAAGCTTACGGTATTAACGCAGCCTTCATGACCACACAATTTTCCATACTGAGACATCCGCAACACTATATGCTACTCCCTCGAAGAAAACGAAAATGACAAGCAGTTAGCACCGCATCGAAGAACAGTGATTCAAGCCAACTCAGCATTGTAGAAAGAAACAGTTATATAGCAAAACTACCACAAAAATCATCATCATAATCTGTAATATAACTAGAGTTGGATCACCTTTGTAACACATGTGATCCAATAAGACATTTGTCAAGCTTGAAAAGAAACACTACGGAGAGAAACTAGTCAACTAGTAGACATCGAACTTGAACAAAATGTATAAATCTTATCCCCCATGTCACAAATTTCATCAGTAGTAAAACTGTGTCTAATCTATAGACCCAGACAGCAGACAGTCTTATTCGGACGCTTAAATTTGAGATTTTGCAGTACTAGCTCCATAAATTCCCAAAATGAAGTTGCTGAACAGATACAAACAAGCCCAACACCGCATCAAGAACAGAACCTACCCACCAGCCATCGTACTCTACCCGACCGCCAGATATGTGAAACCCTACACCTTGTCTTCCAAAGTCCACCCAGCAGACATGGTCGAATCATCTACCGACTAGGAGATACCGAATTCCGGAAGGATTCCAAAGTTCGAAGTACCAGGATCAAACAGAAATTAACAGAGAAGAAAAGAACCTCGGAGCCGCTGATTCGGCGGGAAGAGGCGCGGGGGAAGGAGGAGCCGATCTCGCGGCGGCCGACTTCCAAGAAGCAGCTACCCTTCCGGCCACCAGTTGCTTCGAAGGCGGCGGCCATGGTGAGCGGTGGAATGCGAGAAGAGAGAGGGGAGGGGTTGGGGTTGGGGTTGGGGATTTTGCGGGGTTTAAAAGTCGTAGAATCTGCTAGTCGAGACACGGGGATGGTTCTGGCTTCCCCAGAGACCGAGGCCCTATTTAGTTTTCAAAAAGTTTTCAAAAAAGTGTATATTAAATCTTGTGATACGTGTATTGAGCATTAAATGTAGATGAAAAAAAAATTTAATTGCACAGTTTAGTTAGAAATCGCGAGATGAACATTTTGAACCTAATTAGTCCATGATTGAACACTAATTGTCAAATAAAAACAAAAATGCTACGGTAGCCAAATTTTCAAATTTCGCGAACTAAACATAGCCCGAGGGTGTGTTTAGTTGGGGACTGAAAATTTTTTAGTGTCACATCGATATGTTGGAAGGATGTCGGGAGGGTTTTGGATACTAATAAAAAAACAAATTACAGAACCCATCAGGAAACTGCGAGACGAATCTAATGATACTAATTAATCGGTTATTAGCACATGTAGGGTACTGTAGCACTTAAGGCTTTTCATGGCTAATTAGGTTTAAAAGATTTGTCTCGCAATTTTACCGAGAACTGTGCAATTAGTTTTTTTTCATCTATATTTAGTACTTCATGTGTCAAACATGCTCTTTTACTGTAGGAGACAAAAAATTTTGGAAACTAAACATGGGCCTGACTTGGGCCTCCGTCATGTATGCTTTTACGTTTTCCATTTGTTATCTTTTCTTTTTCCATTCCTAGTCTAAAAGGCTGGGGGAGTGAGGGTCAGGCGATCAGATGGTGGAGACAGTCGAAAACAACGTTAGAGTTCTGTTGCCATATGAGGCGGCCCAGCCAGGTGAGGTCGGAGGCGCCCATGACCATGGTGGTGGCGGGAGGGGAAGAAGGAGGTCATCGTGGGGCGGTGGGCAGCAGCGAGGGCAAGGGTGAGGACGAGGATAAGGTCGGGGCCAGGAGATGGGTGGTGTGACCGACGGCAGGACATGAAGGCAGGGGTGGGCGTGCGAGGAGGAAAAAGTGTGTGTTCCATATGCTAATTGCACAGTCGTCCGTGCATTAGCCACGTCCAATATAAATTTAAAGAAAGAGGCTTTTGGAGTTTTTTTTAAACGACACCGGGTGCTCTCTTCTCTTAGACCCTTCCTCCATGTACCTGATTTTCTTTCACTTAATCTTCGCTCCTCTATTTTTCAGCAAAATTTAGAACAATGACATCAAACTTCTCCAACAAAATTTTGAAACTTAAACTAGCTAAAATACATTTTAAATCCCACTCTTCATTGCTAGCTTAAGCATATCAAATAGTAAAAAATAGATCCAATTCACCATCGCATACATCTATATATTCTATGGCCCTTGTTGCTCCATTATGGGCTTATGGCTATCGGTGCCCAGTGGAGTACAAAACAAGATTATAATTAATTTGGTACATGGCACAGTTTTCTCAATTTAGAATAGCCTTATTCATCTCCTTGATGATTGTTCGTACTAATCTAGACATAAGCTTTTTCTTTTTTTTTTCCAAATTACACAAGTACAGACACAGACACTCAACACGCACGCACACTCATTCCTATGAACACACGTACGCAAACCCTACCCCTATGAGCACCTCCGAAAAGACTGTGCCGGCATATCTCGAGATTAATGAAGTCACCACATACGCTTCGCCGTCGATGGGAACGTCGCCTACCACTGAAAGCATAACGTCGTTAAATCCTGGAATAAATCAAGAAAAATCGACGCACACCGTGCCGCGTCGAGGACTTGAACCCGGGTGAGTAGGTTCCACCATAAGGAACCTAACCAACTGATGGTAAAAAAATATAGAATGTGATTGGGCTATTTTGATGTATATACAATTCTTGTTGCGATAGTAACTGTGATAGTGCCATCGTGAGTCTGGAATGTTGTTGGCGCTAAAGAAATGTTTTAGATAAAAGTTATTTGTACACAACATGGTTACCTGTACAATTGCAATACAAATTACTGCAACAAATTGATGCTATAAATTTTCCGGATTTTTGTAGAAACTCTCTAAAGAGAGGATTTAATTGGCTCATTGTCTTGTCAAGCTGTTAGCTGTCATCACTAGAAGACATCTGTACATGTGACAACCTTGTTACTATCGTGTAGCAAGCCTACTATAAGTGTGTCGGATGCGGACTTTGCGACCATCTTCCTATGCAACAAAAGCTTTGCACTTGAGTGCGTTCAATATATAGAGAGGCCTTTTTTTTGTAAGAGTACTTGCAACAAAATCGATGGCGTGAGTTTTAACTGGTGCAAACGTGCAGATCCCTTTTTGTTTTTTAAAGAAAAAAGAGACAAGACTTAGCTGCCAAAACCAAACATATAAGGGTTTATTTGGCTCGTGATCTTACTCATCACTGGTATACACATTGGTCACGTGGAGATGCACATTACTTGACTATGACCCAATGAAAAGAAGAAAAAAAACTCATCAATAATCTCTATATCTACTTAGGCTTGTTTGAGACTCCTTCACTCTATCTCCACTCCACCAACTATATCGCTCCACTCTAAAGTTGATCTTCCATCATGGAGCAGTGTTCGGCTGAGACCTCACTTCTAGTTTCAGAAATTGTTGGTTTTGGTGATAAAGATCATTTTATGCCCTTGAATTTTTGTTGTTGTTGGTACTCTTATATTATCAACTTGCTTGAATTTAGCATGGGCTGCAAAATTAGTCGAAAGGGGTGAAAACTTGATACTATGCTAAAACTTGTAAGTTAAGGATCATGAATTAGTAAGCTCTCTGCAAGAATAGACCACTAGCCAAATAGCCACAACATAACCATAAGAGTTGGCCTAATTAGTCGGGTAAGTCTTACTAAGTACATTGAGTACTAAGGATTTACCCTTAACTTGTTGCGGGCAAAGATTCGAATGGAGAAGCCACGACTCAGAAGTGAGCCAAATGCTAGCTCGATTGGTCCAGACTCAGGTGCTTACTCGACTGACTTATCTTATGTATGTGGGAGACATCTAGTAGGGACAATGGTACCCCGACTTACTTTCTTTGGTGTTATCGTAGCTATGTATGTCCAAGTCCTATGAACATTTTAGTAGTTCTGAAGTTCTTTGTATCTTGTGCTCGATCTCTATTAAATCCTTGATGTAAAACTTTTGTTTAAGCTACTCTTATACTATTACTCTTCTATTGAATCTCTTGATTCTAAGCTTATGTTCAAATTACTTTGTTATATATGTTCTGATACAAGTTTTTATTAGAAAAGCTTTGTAAAAAAATTATGGATGCGGTCTTGAAAGTGAGAAAGCATGAAAATTTTAGTTCTTCCCACGTGGTGCCCTAACAAACTATCACGTTTGACTCGGATAAAATGTGTTTAATGCCCATAGACGACGAACATAATTAATGTTAAACCGGATAGTTCCGCCACAGGATTTGAGATCGGGACAGGTCTTTGATTCTTGGGTTTCGGATGCAGATGCGTGGATACTCCACCCGGTTTCGACTCGCCATATTGCCGTCATTCATGGTGATTGGTCATTGCGCCGTTGCAATTTGACATGTTATGATGTGTTTGCTAGAGATTCTTTACCAGCTTCACAATTAGCTTCTCTTATCAAACAAGTCTAGATGAAATAGCTTTTCACTAAAAAAATTATTTTTCAGAGTTCTCTAGGTGAAACTAGAAATACTAGTTTCTCCTAGCTTTGTCTATGCTATCTTTCATGAGAAACTGTTTTACCAAATGTTTATAAAAATATATTCAGCTCTACTAGTAAATCTGCTTTTGGAGCCAAAGCCAATATAAACTAATTCACTAGTGAAGCTGAGTTGTCCTTATTTGTAAGCCATGTTGATCTCGCCGCTCTCGCTCGGTCGTTTAACGTGGCAACTAGCAAAGTGGCAGGCCGCGCGATGCCAACCACCAAGCGAAAATCAGCCGTAACCCGTAAGCACTGCCGGTGTCATTCTGCTTCCAGCAAGCCACGAGGCACCGCGCGTACACAGGGTGGTACGAAGCCCGCGCGTGGCTCGCTCAGTCGCTCGGCTGGCTGCTGCCGCTCTAGCAGCCCTGCACGAACACCGTCCCCCGTTCGAGTGTTCGACAAACAAACGTGGCCGGATGCTCCAACAGCCTGTTCGCTTGCTCGTAAACGATCGTAAATTTCCAGCCGGGAATAGTGTTTTTCTCTCACACCAAACCAGCCAGCAGTAAATAATCCACGATACGATACGGCCTCCCGAACAGGCGGCAAGTGCGGCCGCCGGCCGGCCAGCAACGTGGTGCGGTTTCCACATGGAAGTGATGTTGCCGCTGCTCCTGTTGGGGACTTGTGCGTCAGTGACATACTGCGTACCGCATGAGAACATGGCCGAGCTGTTGGCGGGGTCACGGCTCTGGCTATCTCGGGTGGCCGGTGTTGATCCGGCAATATTGCGACCAAAATGCTCTCTTGTCCTGACGTGACCGCTGGGTGCCAAACCGGTGGCTAACAACTAGCAAAGCCGGTGGTGATATGATTCAGTCACGCACCCATACGCTGCCGCTTCAAATTCAAGTGGTTCATTATAATCTCTAGAGTTGTCTCACGATGCAAGCATTTGTACTGAATTTGGAACTTGAATCCGCTCAAACATGTTGTACGGTAAGGACCTGAATCTCTGCGCTGGGAAGTCAGTCTTCTTAACATATGCCAACACTGGGCTCTCGGGCTGCCTCTTGAACGGTTTTTGTCATTTATTATTATTACTCCAAGTGTTTCAATAAAAATACACTGCTAGCTACAGTGTTAAGTCAAGCTATTCATTTGACCATTTTTTCAAAGAAAAAAAAACAACATTTACGATTGCAAATAAGTGCTATTAGATTTGTGGCGGAATATATTTTTATAGGATACCACAAAAAATCAGAACACCATATTCAAATGTCTAGACAAACATATGACTGAATAACTTCCAGATATCTCCTGAACATCAGCAGA